TGAAGTGCATCGAGTCAAGTGCATAGCACACAGAGTGAAGTGCATCAGAGTGAAGAACATCGAGTGAAGTGCATCGAGTCAAGTGCATAGAACACAGAGTCAGTTACATCGAGTCAAATACAGAGAGTGAAATGCATCGAGTCGAATACCCGACTAATCCACATCTAAACCGACTTATCTGCATCTCGGTTTATCTATCTATCTTTTTAAGCCGGAACCAGCACCATTAATGATCGGGAATGCAACTCTTTGCGTGGATTGGCGTGGTCGAGCGCGCAAACGCAAGGTAAGTTGCAACCTTTAAGCGTCACGCGCAACCCTTTGCGTGGCGTGGTGATAAACATACAGTTACAGATTCACGTGGAGTCCATAAAGTTAAGTACGACTACATGTACTTGACTTTTTAATTTTACATAATGATGCTCGTCATTTGCTTCTGAAAAGGAGCCCACAAGCTTTTTCACACAAAATCATCTTCGGAGCTGCTCTTTTTTTCCCGAAATGTCTTTTTCCAGAGGCTCCGAAATGTTGTAGCAAACGCCGGATCTTTTTTCGACCCCCGAGAGATTTTTCTGGACCTTCGGTGTTTTTTTGTGACCTTCTGTTAGAGAGACGCACACAAGACGAGATGAAAAGCAAATTCCAAATCATAAATTAGGCAAACAAGAAAACAAAAAAAACTAAAGCAAGAACAAGTTGGAACTTACTAGCACCTCTAACGTTCTAAAATTCATTTTCGGGACTGCGTTTCGCGTTCAAAGGTGACGTGAAACGTTCGAAACGTCAATTGATTTTTCGAAATGCATTTTCACGGCAAGACGTGCTTAAAATGTCTAAAATCGGACTGTATTTTACGGCGAAGGCTCCACGCACTCCAAGAAGGCCGGTTGTAACAGATCCGACGTGCCGGTCGAAAAGCTTGGCTTCGCTCAGGCCTCCGGAACTCCTAGAGCTCAACCCACGGATGTGAGACTTCGCCAACACCGTTGAAGGTGCCCCCACAATCATCGACCAGGTTTGTCTTTTGAAGCGCTTGCATTTCGCGGCAGGGTCCAGGGCGTCGCGCGCCGTAGTGCCTCCAAGGCGTGAAGTGATGTGGCTCCTAGGGCTGTGAAAGGGGCTGCATCCGAGGACCCTTCGGCGAAGAGGGCTTCGAAGCCTTCGAAGCCTTCGAAGGTGAAGGGTCGAAGGGGAAAGGAGGGGCGCTGAAGGGAGAAAGGCTTCGAAGGCTTCAAAGGGAGGACGAAGGCTTCGAAAGCTTCGAAGGTGAAGACGAAGGCTTCGAAGGGGAGGATGGGGGGCAGGGCTTCGAAGGCAAAGACGACAACTGGAACGTAACCGAACACGCAACTGAGGGGGAGCTGCGCCCTCCAACCCCCCAGCTCCTGTCAAGCAGCAAACCCCCCT